TATGAGAGAGAGAGAGAGAGAGAGAGAGAGAGAGAGAGAGAGAGACTCGGAGTATTGCCATTGTTCATGAGATCGAGTCAAGGTTGTGTCACACTCGTCAGGGAAAAACTGTTGGTAGTGTCACAATTCATGGACAGACACTATTCATGGAAGATACTCATGGTAGTAACATTATTCATGGGAGAGACTAATAGTGTGTTCACATTCTTGGAGGATACTCATGGTAGTATCAATATTTATAGGAGAGAATCATGGTTACGTCACTAATCATGAGAGAGATTCATGGTAGGGGTCACAATTTATGGAAAATATTCATAGTAGTTTATCTATTCATGGGAGAGATTCATGGTGGCATCATTGCAGCAGGGAACCGTAACATTCTTCATCCTCTGCGAAAATAATAATAATGGAAATATCAAGATATATTTGTACACAATAGATAATTATCTTGTGAAGGTAAGAATGTGATTAATATTTTACAGTATTCAGATGGAAGATAAACATCATCATTGTTACTCCACGAAGCAGGAAGTTTTCACACACACACACACACACACACACACACACACACACACACACACACACACACAGAACCATGTCAACATAGTAAAGAAGGGGATGTATATAAAGGTGAATCACTGTGGGAACTTTATCCTACAGGTGTATAGAAGATGAACTCTCGATCTAAGAAGAAGGAACAAATTAGAAGTAATGGAAATCAGGTGTTTGCGAGTCATATGTGAGGTAAATAAGGAGAAGAGAAAAATGTATGTGAGAGTAGTATAGGTAAGGCCTTAGTCCAGGATGTATAGACATTTTGAGAATACGGGAAGTGAAATATTGATAACAAGAAGATATGGTTGGTTAGGGAAGATTAACAAGGACAGGAGTGAAGAGTGTACTAGGAGAATGAGACACCCATGAAGCAGTATGGGTGTGTGTGAATGAGTGGAGAGCACAGCGTCACCTGATTTAGGGGGAAGGGCGGTCTGCTAATGGGTGAAGTGACATGGGTTAACCAGATGGGTGGTGGTTGTGGTGGGGAGCATAACGCTTCTACTACTGCAGGAAGATTGAATGAATGACAACTGATAATGGGGGAAAGTTTTTGTGTTTCCTCTTGACTCCCACCATCCTGCATTAGAGGGAGAAGGTCATTGTGAAAGTGGCAATGTATATTTATATATATTATGAAGTTTCTATTGTAATTTGTTTCAATAGTTAACCTCAACACATCATCCTGTATTAAGGAAGTTAGTGTATTACAAAAATGTTTCATGATTACTTTTTTGTTTAATAAATTTACATAAAATGTATATCAATCGTACTTATTATCTTTAAGCTATAAATATCAGGCCAAAAGTTATACACAAATTATCAAAATTATCAGTTCTCTTTAATAGGACCAAAATTATCCTCCATTTATTATTCTTTTTTTTCCATGTATAAATATCCAGTTTTTTTTCTCCTAAATCGGATGATTGTTTCATTGCTGGTAATTTTGTTTTTTTCTAGCTATAACTTTTGTTCCATTTCCATTTAAATAAATCTTCGTTTTCACTTAACCTCAACTTTATCACCACTTGTATAAAGGATACTGTGTTTATATATAAAATCAGTTAAGAATTGTAATAACCTCGAGTTTTAGCTTCACCTAGAATGTATGAAATTACGGAAATAAATTATCAGACATCATCGTCACCCGGCAATGACTTTCATCAAATTTCCTGCCACTAAACATCACTTTCTTCTCCTCCACTTCCGTCTCACCTTCACCAAACATCACAATTCATCTCCATTTATCATTATAGACTCTTCATCACCATCCTCCTAACACACACTCCTCCATCATCAACACCTTCACTGCCGATTAAGACATAAATCATGAAAATATATAAATTATGCAAATGGGATGACCACTGTATTTTACTCCACTAATTCAGTATAAACACATAAAAGTGGCATTTGCATGTGTCTGACGTTTATCATTTTTTCAACTTTTCTTCACTTTCAATAATTATGTTCTATGCTTTATATATATATATATATATATATATATATATATATATATATATATATATATATATATATATATATATATATATATATATATATATATATATATATATATAATTTTAAGGGACTTACAAAGCCTCAACACAATTTGTCCCTAACAAATAAATCCGCTGTATTGCTTTGAAGATAAAATCTCATTTAATTTTAAGAGAATATTCCCCGAGTTCCTTGTAAAATAATTAAAATTGTATATAAGAATATTATATCAACATACAGTATATAATTTAATACAATATTGACAATCCTTTCTACTAACAACGAAAAATTCTGCACATATATATTTGCTTCCACAGTTTCTTCTCTCGAATAAATACTGATTATATTCTTATCCGAAAATAATTTTATTTTTACGGTTCTTGTTTATTTCTCTCTTTTCCAGTGGTGGCTGGTAGAAACTCCCAGTTCATCCTGTGTTTGGTAAAGTTTACCTGAGACGGATTGAAAAGTGTTATATAGGCGAGTGCTGTTGTACCCCCAGGTGAGTGTTGTTGTACCCCCAGGTGAGTGTTGTTGTACCCCCAGGTGAGTGCTGTTGTACCCCCAGGTGAGTGTTGTTGTACCCCCAGGTGAGTGTTGTTGTACCCCCAGGTGAGTGTTGTTGCACCCCAGGTGAGTGCTGTTGTACCCCCAGGTGAGTGCGCTGTTGTACCCCCAGGTGAGTGCTGCTGTACCCCAGGTGAGTGCTGCTGTACCCCCAGGTGAGTGTCTTGTACCCCAGGTGAGTGTTCTTGTACCCCAGGTGAGTGTTGTTGTACCCCCAGGTGAGTGCTGTTGTACCCCAGGTGAGTGTTGCTGTGAATTCCCAGGTGAGTGCTGTTGTACCCCAGGTGAGTGTTGTTAAATTTCAGGTGAGTGTTGTTGTACCCCCAGGTGAGTGCTGTTGCACCCCAGGTGAGTGTTGTTGTACCCCCAGGTGAGTGCTGTTGTACCCCCAGGTGAGTGTTGTTGTACCCCAGGTGAGTGCTGCTGTACCCCAGGTGAGTGTTGCTGGAACCCCAGGTGAGTGGGCGTTGTTGAACCCCCAGGTGAGTGCTAAGCTGTACCCCAGGTGAGTGTTGTTGAACCCCCAGGTGAGTGCGTTGTTGCACCCCCAGGTGAGTGCAAGCTATAAAATTCCCCATGTGAGTGTTGCTGTACCAGTGAGTGCTGTTGTAAATTCCCAAGTGAGTGTTATTGCTGTACCCCACGTGAGTGCTGTTGTAAATTCCAGGTAGCGCTGTTGTACCCCCAGGTGAGTGCTAAGCTGTACCCCAGGTGAGTGTTGTTGTACCCCAGGTGAGTGTTGTTGTACCCCAAGTGAGTGTTGCTGTACCCCACGAGTGTTGTTGTACCCCCTGTGAGTGCTGTTGTACCCCAGGTGAGTGCTGCTGTACCCCCAGGTGAGTGTTGCTGTACCCCCAGGTGAGTGTTGTTGTACCCCAGGTGAGTGCGTTAAGCTGTACCCCCCAGGTGAGTGTTGTTGTACCCCCAGGTGAGGCTGTTGTACCCCCAGGTGAGTGTTGTTGTACCCCCAGGTGAGTGTTGTTGTACCTCAGGTGAGTGTTGTTGTACCCCGCGAGTGTTGCTGTACCCCAGGTGAGTGTTGGCTGTACCCCAGGTGAGTGTTGTTGTACCCCAGGTGAGGTGTTGTTGTACCCCCAGTGTTGTACCCCCAGGTGAGTGCTGTTGTACCCCCAAGTGAGTGTTGTTGTACCCCACGTGAGTGTTGTTGTACCCCACGTGAGTGTTGTTGTACCCCCAGGTGAGTGCTGTTGTACCCCCAAGTGAGTGTTGTTGTACCCCACGTGAGTGTTGTTGTACCCCCACGTGAGTGTTGTTGTACCCCACGTGAGTGTTGTTGTACCCCACGTGAGTGTTGTTGTACCCCCAGGCGTCACTTCACTGCTATGTGAGGGCACTGCACGGTGAGCCTCATCCTATTGTAGTTTATCCATTAAGCTCACGTGGATACAGAATTTCCCCCTGTTGTACCGATGATCTCAATTCATAAGGTGGTACCATTGTTGTACTACAGAGCTCACACAAGGCACATGAGCTCCAGGTTCCTGTACTACGGAGCTAACCTGAGTAGTCATGCTTAACTCCCCGCTGGCTACTACAACCAGTCCTTCTACAGCTATCAATTTCACTACAGCACGTGAACAAGTTTAGTCAAATAGCCTCCCTAAAGCAACATTCATTTCCGTTTCCTCTGTTGGGTCCGAATGAGTCCGCCCAGTCCCACATGTCTTGGCACAACAACCGCCCCATGACAGGGAGTTGGACACACCATTGTGGTTGATGCGTATCCAGCGCTCTCAGAATAAGTCCACTACTCAAAACACACACACACACACACACTAACACACACTAAAAATACTAACTAATCTTAAAACATTCTTCCTCACACAATCATGTTTACACCCGCACGTCTCTCTCCCATTACACTCTTTAAGTAAACAAACCTCTGTCTCACTGTATCTATGTCCGACCTCGCTACCAGCAAGTGAGGGAAACCTCGCACAAGTTCCCAAACACTTCCGAGAATTCTATGCGGCCGACCCTTGTGAACAACTGGGCATCATGGTGAGCCGCCTCGAGTGGCCGCCTGGTGGCAGCACCGTGCGTCGCTGGAGGAGGAGTTACGGTTTTGTGGGTGGAGTTCTTTGGGGCTGACATGGATTGCCACTAGCGTCAATATTACTTTATGATCAATTATATTACGTAGTAGTGTTTCAAATATATATAAGCAATAAAATTGAATGCATTATCTTATATTCAATACGCAGTACTTTTATTTTTTGATAATAGATTTAATTTTACATAGAAATAATTAAAAATAAAAATGCTAAGGTACACCATCCCTTGCTGACCGCAGATATCGACGATTGGGCGAGGTTAAGTGGTGGGCGTGTCCTCTGGGCTACAAAGACACACACGCGATACCCTGACCACGTTAGTTGAATATCTGCAAGTGGATAGAGCACATTGAAACGTTGTGTGTCCTTTCCCTGATAGTATTTCCTAGCTCTGATCGGGAAAGAATCAAGGTAAAAAGCATTCCTCGGACAGTTCACCGTGGAACTTAAGTTAAATGGTGTCGTTAAGTGTTTTATAGTGTTATTGAGGAGTGTGTCGGATACAGTGGGTGGTGTAGCAACTGAGTCTTGGGTACAGTAAGTAACAGGTTAATGTTCGAGCTTAGCAACTTGTATATCCCTGCCAGTACACGTGTGCTGGGCCCGGCTAGTATGCCTCTATATCATCCACAACGTCTAAGTTCATCATAATTCAATATTCAATTCTATATTTTTTTTTAATATTTTCACGAAATTTAATGAACCGGAAACAAAGAAAAAAATCAATACCCACATTGACAATATCCGGGACAACACCTCGTGGTTGTGTCATTTGATCTCGGCGAGAGAATATCCGCTATAAGTAAGAGCAGCATCCACAACTATTAGCGGTCCAGGTGAGGCGCGCTAGTGGCCGCTGTCGCACAGGTATTCAACAACACCTGCGCTTTTAACGCTCCCGGCGGGGCTGTGCTCCCCCACATTATCAGCAGGACTGGGATGTAGCACAAGTGTGAGTGTAGGTGCGTAAGTGAAGTAACCTGGCTCTACATATTTCATGGTCATTTATTGTATTATTATTTGCCAAGCTCATCATGGGCATGTTTCGTTTGGAATATAAAAAAGTATATATATATTAATAATTTTCGTTGTTTTGAAGACAATGTGGGTGAAATATTACTGTAAAGACGGGGAGGAGGACAGTAGACCTACACTCTATTGTTTGTTTTTTATTTATGTGCCTCAGCCCGGGTAGGATTAATTCACAGGTAGACGCAACACGTCCTGGCGCCAGTAAAAGCTGCACAATATATACTCGTCGCAGATGCATCAATAATCACTTTTGTTCAGTCAAAAGTTTTCTTATTTCAATTATATCATTTATACCTGATTGAAGGTGTTTGAACCGAAAGTCGAGATAAAGCAAGTAAACAGAAGTTGATGTATTAATATGGTGTGCGGGGCTCGCCACCAAGCTTACATGCGCGATAGATATATAACAAGGAAGGATGGACACGCGTATCATGGTCCTGGTAGTTAGGGTCGTCGCTAACACCTCGGATCACCTGTAGCACCTAACAGTAAGTTTAAATAACATAAACCCACTGAGAATAGGATTGGCCGATTGTGAACTCAGAGAATACTGTGTCACTTGCGCTTGAAAGTCGGAGGCGGGACATCGTGGCGCTTCCTTGTGATTATAACCCAGAGACTATAGTGTATTATGACGATTTAGTTTAGATTTTTGTAAATGATAAAATTATTAAATTTTGATTTTGTCCAATTGTTCGATAAATGAGACACTAAGTTAAACACAGTTGTTGCCATAAAGTAGAGCTAATTTATACGTTCATATATTGTAGAGTCTGTCATATATATATTTTGACAAGGATATTTCAACCTACAAGACCCACTCCGTCCAGACATTTTTTAGACTAGATATATTGGTGATATATTATATACTGTGACCTCCTGATTGACCTGGTGATTGACCCTTGTGCGTGTGCCCACAGATGATGGAAGTCGGGAGTGGTGTGGAGGGCGGACAGGCCCAGTACCCCACCGGCTATGCGCCCATGTCTTCCCTGCAGGACTTCTACTCCAACACCCAACACTGCTCCTACTCCAACCCTGGTGAGTCATGGCTTCCCCTCACCTCCCACCGTTATTGACATTATTATATATATATTTAAGATAAACATAAATTTAACAAACTCTTACAACAAGAGTAAATGTAAAAAAATAAATTAAACTTACGAAGAACATTTGTTAATATCACATTAGTGTTGTAGGGAAGTTAGAATGTATTTGATGTTTACAAGGATGAAAAAATTCTTTTTTCATGAGATGCCACCAACCCTTAAGCCTCCACATACAACACACGCCTCTGTTACCTCATTAACGCCAACATAACCTTCACAATAGGACCTCTGTTTATTATACTGTAATACCAAAACGCATTTTCATCAATACACTGTAAAAAAAAAATCCAGAACTACAATATATACAATTTTTATAGAAACTTCCCCTCATCCGTGGTCAGTGATGTAACCATATTGCCTTGACCATTGTTGTACAGTATGGTAAAACAGCTCCCATCACAGACCTTAACCACCCGGCGGAGTCCATGACCTCTTTCTCGCAAGATCATTTCTGGAGACTTGTTTTATTATTCCACTTTGGACCTATCTTGTGTCTATTTGAGTTTAATGGATAAAATTTATTTTTTTTTCTTAATAATACATATTTTATTTATTATTATTATTATTATTATTATTATTATTATTATTATTATTCACTGTTAAATCACGCCTTCCTGTGATAATATTCGAAGAAAGAATTAGATATTTTTTTTTATTGAGCGTGAAGGCTGGTGGGTGCGGCTTCTAATAGATAGTGTATGTCTCCTAACTCTATGTCTCTGGGTGAGTATAGCACAGCTTGATATATCGTAAATAATATATCTATAAATCTTGAAATACATTACGAGTACCAAACAAGCTAATATAAACAACCTTCTGCTTATTACCCCCTAGACAGCCTCCCCTTAGCCACCTCCCCAACCCACCGCCCTCCCTCCCCCACCACCCAACAACCTCCCCCAACCCACCGCCACCCACCCTCACCCACACTCCCTCTACCCCACAAGGAGACAACAGTGAGCTCCTTAATTCAAACATATAATTACAGAAGGACATTAATGCGGCGAATTAGTCCCGTCACGTAAAAAAAAAAGGGACTTAATCGCTTCCACACACACACACACACTCAAGCTGCGGCGGGAAGAGCTCTGGTCCGCCCGTCCGCCCGCCCGCACGCTGGGGACCCACTGCGACAATTACTAGCCGCAACTGTGCCGTTTATGGACCGCAAGTATTGTAGTTATGCGGCCAGAGTATTGTAGTTATGTGCCGCAGGTAGTTTTCATTATGGGTACAAGTGTTTAGCTTATGTAAACATCTGTTCGTCATTATGCGGCCTTGTTAATGTGTCAGGCGTCTGCAAGTGTCGTAACTTTGGATACTGTTGTTGTGATTAATTCCTAAGTCTCTCATTTACCGAAAATATAAATTACGTATTAAAACACTCCAGATTATACAACAACCTAACGCGCAGAAGAAAAAAAAAAGGATGCGGTGTAGAGTAACGTAATTATGCCATCCAAAGTATTGTAATTATGCCAAGACAACCAGTGTAATTATGGTCATAACAAGTGTTAGCCGGATAGTTACAGCTGCTGTCTGGCATCTCTTATCCTGCAACACGTCACCCCTTGTGCTGTCAAGATCTGTTCTCTCTTGGTGGATGGTGTGATGGGACATGTGTTGACGCCGGGACACGGATCATGATGACGACGATGATGAACACGAGCATAAATACATCTTAATTACAACTCCCAGGAAGCTTGACGACTCACCAACCCGACATTTAACAGCTGTTGTGGTGGTTGTTATTGTGGGTTATGGGAGTGCTTTAACGCGCTTCATGTTGGAGGAAAATTACCGGGAAGTTCTTTTAAGACGTAGCAGTAGTAGGGAAGGTTTAAGTAGATGGCCGTAGCGTGACCTGCTGTAGATAGTAGGATTATATCATTCGCGTTTGGAGTAAGCGAATGTAGATGGCGCCGTGGGAGTAAGATCAAGGTCCTTGTTGGTGAGGTTTTTAGTGGGAGCTGCGGCAGTGACAGCGGTAGGAGGAGACATCACATACACTCTCTCTCTCTCTCTCTCTCTCTCCTCCTCTTTCTCTCTTTCTCTCTCATGGGTAGACAAAAACCTGTGTAACGTGAGGAGAGGACATACGGACCAAGAGCGAGGCCACAGTAAATTGTAAGGCAGCGCAGCGTAAGACGTCCCGCGGCCTCCCGAACGTCACTACCGCCACCCACTACAATATGTCACACCAGGTCCACCACCACCACCATACTCCCACGCACACACACACGCACACACGGATTATGACGATTATGACGCATTAATTGTCTCGTGTTATATCGCCAGGAAGAGAGGAGGGAGGGGAAGTAATTGAGGCGAGGGGCAACTATGTCGAGGGATGAAGCAGCGTTAAGAGGGATGGAGGTGCAGGGTGGGTGATGGTGGGAAGTTTGTCTTGCTCCCGGGGGATGTTTTGCTGCTGTGTTGTGTAGTCAGTTGTCTTCTGCGTATGAATTAAGGATGTTAATATATATATTGATTTGGGGATTACAATGGGATCAATGTTACTTTGGTGGTTTGTGGGTAGTGTTAAGGATTGACAAAAACGTAACTATAAGTAACTAATCACTCTCACACACACACACACACACACACACACACACAATATAAATAATAAAATCAACATGTGTCTCTGTATATTGTAAGCAATTATCTAAACATATGTCAAAACATCTTTTAAAGGTCACTTGTAGATAAAATAAACAACTCTTGCAAACAACATAAAGTAACAGTTATGCTTGTCAACAATAGCTGCCACAAACAACACCCCCCCCCTTGATAATATTTACCTCAACAAAGAGTTACAAGCATCTTCCACCTTCATTGTCAACAAGTGTAAATAAATATCACAACCAGATGTGAAAAGCCATTACCAAAATAACATGTTGCCGATACTTAATGAAAGGATTTCCTTCAGTCAATTATTTCAACTTATAATTACACAAAAACTAGTAAGGTATAATACTGCTTCTGGCTAATGAACCAACCATCATGTGGCAAAAGTATATTTGAACTGAAATATAAACAAACATAACAATAATTATTTAATGTATAGTTTCCTACGAGTATTTTAATCTATACTATAAGATACTTTTTATTATTTTCCTATTACTGTATATCCCCTTCATACAGTACCAATAATATCTTCTCATTCACCTTTTTTATCTATATTTTTTTTTACCTTTCCTTATTTTCCTTCTAATTCTTTTGAACATAATTACATTCACACTCGCAAACAAACACAGATATCGACAAACAAACCTTAACACACACACACACACATACACTTTATTTTTTTTTTTTACATATAGTTAATGTATGATTTTGAACACGTCATCTGCTGTACACCTCCCGGCCATACCACGACCCTCAGCCTAAACCCTCCTCAGCTGCTAACGCATATAGGGGCCATAATTCCCTCCCCCGGGGGTCCAAAAGTTACGTAAATCCGCAAACACTCGGCCCAAGTTAATCTCACTCCTGCCGGCGATACCAGTAAATCCTGAGTAATCCTCGTCGCTCCAGGGATATCTGCTGGAAAGGTTAGGTAGGTGGGGGGTGGGGGGAAGGGATTTAGGGAGGAAACTTTTCATAATTCATAAGTTTTGTAGTTTATAATTTATCATATCGGTTGGGAGGGATTTATCGGATTTTCCCTCAATTTCTTTTTTTGTGAAGTTGAGGGAGTTTTTTTTAATTCGTGAGATTCATTTTTATTTTTTTTAATTCATAAATCAGTGGGATTATTTTTTTCCCATTAGGGGGATTTTCCTCATTACTCATAACTCCTCGTTACTCATAGGTAATTTTGCGTAGGATTTTTTTAGATGTGGATTTACCTCATAAGTTATAATTCACTGGTGCTTGGATTTTTTTATTTCTCCATCTTAAGGGATTTATATCGTAACTCAAAATTAATGGATATTCATCTCATAATCTTAGCTCATAATTTTCTCTCTATTCCATTAACGTGAAGTAACGTTTTATGCTGTAATTCATAATCGCTCAAAAATATACCTTAGAGTTTTTTTCTTTAGTAAATTCTATTATTTTCTTAATATTGAAGAAAATAACAAAATAATCGTAGATGACATAACTGGATGGTTCGTATAATATATCGTAATATTTATTATTTTTTTCGCTATTTACATTAACTTTTATTATCAATTTTTTTATAATTTATCGTTGGTATTATTTCTTTCTACGTGTAATCATATAACGAACCCTCTAACGTACCTTCCTCTCCATATAGTTCGTTTAATAGAGCTTTTACTGTAATGCTTAAACTTATAATTTTATACTTTTATTTATTCGTTTTATTACTGTTTTTGTTAACTTTTCTTGATTTATTTATCTAGTAAAATAATATTATTGTATCTACGTTTTATTGATTTTGTTATTAGTTTCTTATTATATATTATTTTTACAACGAGTTTATGTTGCTTTTATTACTAATTTGTTTACCGTTTATTTTTCATTCATTAAATTTTATTTATTTTTATACATCAAATTGTTTTGCTATTCTTATTACTGATGTTATTAAATCTACTCGTTTTTATCGCTATATTTTTATTATTAATATCTGATAAATTTATTGTTAATGTACGATATTCATCAAGTTTTATTATCATATTAATATTTTTTTTTTCATTGAGATGTTTTGATTCGTTCATGAAGAAAAAAATATTATAAATCACCAATAATTTAAAACAAGAAAACACAATGTCTTATTTGTCTTGATTCTCAACTCCAGTATATTATAATCTTTTGTGTTTTAAGAGTATAACAAACACATGAGATATTATTCATAAAATTAACTGACCTCCAAAAAAATATATACACAATTCCTCACCTTTTACTTGAAATAATTCTGGTTTGTTAATTCTATATTTTGTTGTCTGACGTAAATTAATTATTAAA